ATATCGCTGGTGTGCTCTGGGCTCCCAATGTTGACTCCTGGGGCCCAAATCGGGGTTCGGCATGTTGTGGCGGGCTGCTGGCACGTCACGTGGGTGTCTTGGGAGGTCCTCCTCCCGGGGCACGTCTGCGTAGTGCAGCCTGCGTCTTTCAACTGGGGCTTCTGCGTAATACGCTCTGTCCGGGTACGGACTGGCGTATGATGCTTGGTCATGCAGCTGGTTATCGGCATGCCGAATACCGGAGTAGCTAGGATGGGTGGATGGTGGAGGTGCAGCTTGGGGTGCATAACCCCAATCGGCACCTTGCACCCTTCGTGGACTGGGGGAGCGGTCTAAATAGAGGTGCCGCTCAGCTGGTCGACTTCTCACTGATTGAGAAGGCCGTGAAGATGAGGGTGGTGGTCCAACCTGGGGTTCGAGGGCGAACTGCCCTCGGCCCCTAGATGGTCCTGAATGCCCTATAGTGTGTGTAGGGAACGGGGCCGAAGGTTGGGACAGATAAGCTTCATCTCTCCCCTGCGGCGTGCGTCCGTCCAGAGAGTCCCACACCACATACTGTTGATTATCGTATGGAGCCGTATCAGGAGGTAGCCTACCTTTACGGCGGGACGGCGGTCCCTCGCTACCTTGGGTGGAGGGAACCAATTGGTCTTTGGCGATCGTCCTGGGCGGACCCTGGTTGGCTTTGCCGGCTTGCTTTCGTACCGGTGTGGGAGAGCACTCTGGCTCAGCCTCAGAGTCACGGTGTTCCCCCCCTTCCCACTGTCTGTTGTCATCAGCAGAAGGGGGCGGGGTCTTCTCCCCATCTTCCCCAGAATCGGTGCTGGCTTCCTCCTCGTCATCCTTCTGCCTTCCATTTTGCTGCCTTTCAGCTAGCATGCTCTGGAGCTTCATGATCTCTCGATCATGTTGGAGTTCTCTCTGATAGAGGATCAAGGCTAACTTAGCTAAGTGAACCTGGATTGGTTTTGTACCATCCGGGTTTTCTATTTGATCAATTACAGCTTCTAGCTCGTCGCTACGCTGTTCTTCAGTGAAATCCCTAGAAGGGTAGTCGGGTTCTCGAGCAACCGCGACCAGTTTGGACAATATTTGTCCAGAAAGTAGGCCAGGTTCATAGTCGTGGGCCGCAGCGCCACCTGGTTGCCGGGAGTTGGTCAGTTCACTACTCTGTCCCTCCATTTTAACAACCGAACCAAAAATAGCCTAGTAGAGCTTCTGCAGATAGCTCAAGCTGCACCTTTTGGGCAGCAACTGCTAGCTTTGTAGCAGAAAAACACTACATTAACCTTTGTGCGCACAGGTTTTAGCGTTTTAAGATTGCACGGAATGCCGTGACTAACGCCTAAAATACTATTCCTTTCAGTATTTTAGCAAAAGCTGGTGCGTTGCCGTAGCAACGTCTTACAACACTTGCAGTGTTAAATATGCTAGTTATTCCTTCAGAATATTAGCAAACAGGGTGTTATCAGTCTTTGAGTGAAGGTTTCAGTTAGTTATAATAGCCACTGTGAGTTAAAGTCGCTAAATTAGCAGTTAATTTTAGCCTAAAAGGGTTAGTCAGAATTACTTACACGCTGCACCTTTAATGAGGAACTGAATTTTAACCTAAAAGGTTAGCCAGAATTAATTACACGTTGCACCTTTAAGGAAAAACTGAATTTTAACCTAAAAGGTTAGCCAGAATTAATTACACGTTGCACCTTTAAGGAAAAACTGAATTTTTAACCTAAAAGGTCAACCAGAATTAATTTACACGTTGCACCTTTAAAGAAGCACTGAGTTACTGGTGAGAGTTCGATGCAGCTTCCTGCTCAGCGAAATCAGCACCACTCTGTTGCTGGTTCAAGGCTGAACAACGGATTATTTTTAATTCAAGCTCTTTGGATTTATTTGTTTGTTTGTGCCGGATAGAAATCTCTGTGTATCCAAGCCTCACACGGCCGCACCAATAAAATGTTGGGGTTATTAGGAGCGAACAATTCGTAAGCGTTAACTTACTTTTGGATTCTTCAATAAATTCTGTAAATATGTAAATATTTACTGATTTATTAATTAATTAAGATATTCTTAGATATACGGGGCACCATTCCCCTTTTCCGGGGAAAAATTGAATCCAAAACTCTTATCAGTCTTTCTTGAAGTTCGTAGAATCCTTGGAGCAGAGACTTCTCTTCGACACAACAAAGCTACTGGACACAAAAATCTGAATTTTATAACATTTAATTAACAATTTGTCAAATGAATAAACAGTGGAATAGATGAATAATAACCGTGTGATATGATTGAAGATGGATGTGTTTGCATGTGATGGAGGATGTATGAATGGGGTCCTTTGTTCTCACAAAGGAGTAGTGTGTATGTGTGTGTGTGTGTGTGTGTGTATGGATTCAAAATGGAGTCTTGAATACAAGATGGCTGACCCCTTTGTCTGGCTAAAGTGTGGGTGGCAACTTGCACTTTAACTTCCAAAGCACTTAGAATCAGTAGTAACTTAACCTTAAATCACTCAAAACATTTCAAAAGATCATGAAACAACACAAAAGATTAATCACAAATTAATATCTTTTAGTTTCAGCCTGGCCATGACAGAAACCATTTTAAGATACCAAACAATGATCAATAAGCAGTTTATTCTTTCAAAATGACCCGACGGACGTGTTTGGGACGAAAGAGGAAAACACGAAGCTACTTTTTAAGCAATAGACGCGGTTTATTGCTTATTTGAGACTATAGAGGAAACGGGAGAAGAAAAGGAGAGAAAAAAATGAGTTTCCTGATCACCAAAGCAGCAAGGCGTCCCCCGCTGTTATGACTTGACGGTTCTCCGTTTTTCTCCGCAGTTTCCGGCGTCATCCGTCGGTTTGATGCTTTCTCCGTTGTTTGGCGTTCACGAGTGTTTCTCCACGGGCTGGACAGAGACAGCAAAGTTTCTTTCTGTGCTGAGTTATAACTTACAGCGTTTCTGAGAGCTGGATGGAGTTGTTGTTTCCCTCCGCAGTTCTGTGTCCTCAAACATCAGCTGGAGGGGAGCAGAAACGAGCAGATCAGCGGTCCCGTGGGCTCAACTTGGCTCTTAGAGCTTCCGCGTGCTCAAAGAAGTCGGAGCGTTCGACAAGCGTGTCCTCACCGCCAGGTATCCTGGGCAAAAGAACGAGGTTTCTTTGTCTCTGCTGAAGATTTATGGTCTTAGTTCGCGGGAAAAGTCCACGGCTTCCCGCACATGCGCAGAACGTGTTTCTGGTACTAGGCGGTGACGTCATCACAATGCTTCCGTGTGCAAAGCATCATGGGAAATGAAGTTTCTTGGCGCTGATGTGATTATTTGCTTTTCAGAGCAATTTAAGCACAGTCATTTTGGAGAAAATCACTGCATAGTAATTTCCTCATGAGGTCAGACCCTCAACACAACCAATGAAAACATCAAATCTGGTATCTCAGAAAATTAGAATATTCTAAAGGCCAATGAAAAAATGTTTGTTTCTCTAATGTTGGCCAACTGAAAAGAATGAACATGAAAAGAATGTGCATGTATAGCACTCAATACTTAGTCGGGGCTCCTTTTGCCTCAATAACTGCAGTAATGCGGCGTGGCATGGACTCGATCAGTCTGTGGCACTGCTCAGGTGTTATGAGAGCCCAGGTTGCTCTGATAGTCGTCTTCAGCTCCTCTGCATTGTTGGGTCTAGCGTATTGCATCCTCCGCTTCACAATACCCCATAGATTTTCTATGGGGTTAAGGTCAGGCGAGTTTGCTGGCCAATCAAGGACAGGGATACCATGGTCCTTGAACCAGGTGCTGGTGGTTTTGGCACTGTGTGCAGGTGCCAAGTCCTGTTGAAAGGTGAAGTCTGCATCCCCATAAAGTTGGTCAGCAGCAGGAAGCATGAAGTGCTCTAAAACTTCCTGGTAGACGGCTGCATTGACCCTGGACCTCAGGAAACAGAGTGGGCCAACACCGGCAGATGACATGGCACCCCACACCATCACTGACGGTGGAAACTTTACACTGGACCTCATGCAACGTGGATTCTGTGCTTCTCCGCTCTTCCTCCAGACTCTGGGTCCTTGATTTCCAAAGGAAATGCAGAACTTGCTTTCATCAGAAAACATAACTTTGGACCACTCAGCATCAGTCCAGTCCTTTTTGTCCTTGGCCCAGGCGAGACGCTTCTTGCGCTGTTTCATGTTCAAGAGTGGCTTGACACACGGAATGCGACACCTGAATCCCATGTCTTTCATGAGTCTCCTCGTGGTGGTTCTTGAAGCGCTGACTCCAGCTGCAGTCCACTCTTTGTGGATCTCCCCCACATTTTTGAATGGGTTTGTCGTCACAATTCTCTGCAGGGTGCGGTTATCCCTAGAGCTTGTACACTTTTTTCTACCACATTTTTTCCGTCCCTTCGCCTGTCTGTTAATGTGCTTGGACACAGAGCTCTGCGAACAGCCAGCTTCTTTAGCAATCACCTTTTGTGTCTTGCCCTCCTTGTGCAAGGTGTCAATGATTGTCTTTTGGACAGCTGTTAAGTCAGAAGTCTTCCCCATGATTGTGGTGCCTTCAAAACAAGACTGAGGGACCTTTTAAAGGCCTTTGCAGGTGTTTTGAGTAAATCAGCTGATTAGAGTGGCAGCAGGTGTCTTCTATATTCAGCCTTTTCAGAATATTCTAATTTTTTGAGATACCAAATTTGGAGTTTTCATTAGTTGTCACTTATGAATATCAAATTTAAATGTAATGAACATTGGAAATACATTGGTCTGTGTGCATTGCATGAATATAATGTACAAGTTTCACGTTTTGAATGGAATTACTGAAATATTTTCAACCTTTTGATGATATTCTAATTTACTGGCCAGCACCTGTATTTTAACTAGTTTGGAGGGTTCGTACAGCCCGTTTTCTGCAAGTCTAATTATGAATGAGGTAGAAAATTCACAAAACTCTGCTTACATCTCCTTACATCTCCATACCCTATCTGTCTTTTTCTTGGTGTGTTCAGAACCTGCTGTCGGAGAAGGTAGACCAGATGATGGAGTGGTCCTCTCGTCGTTCGGTCATCCGGATGAATGGAGACAAGTTCCGTCGCTTTGTCAAGGCTCCGCCCAGGAACTACTCTGTCATCGTCATGTTCACTGCTCTGCAACCTCAGAGGCAGTGTTCTGTCTGCAGGTATGCGTGCACACACACACACGTGCACACACACACACACGTGCACACACACACACACGTGCACACACACACACACACACACACACACACACACACACACACACACACACACACACACACAGACAGCGATTTAAAGCCAATGCATTCCCTAACACATATGTCCTGGACGTTTCCTGATATTTTACATATCCTTGTTCAAATAAAAAATGTTAAAACGTGTAGACTTCCACACCATGGGAACCACAGAAAAATGGCTTTATATAATAATAACCTGTGGGTCCCATTGACATTTTGATCAGTGAGACTCCAACTAGTCACTCTGCCAAGGGGGAATGTATAAATTCCACAGAATAAGGCTACCAAGACCTACTTACCTACTTACACAAATTTTAAGGCCTTGGAAATGGGCAAAAATAATTTTCATACCACAAGATTAGCTCAAAGAGACCAATGTCACAACATGTTCATACAAATAAGTTGCAAATAGGAAAGCAAACTAAAGCTCAATAGTTCTGGCAAATAACAGAAAGTTGACACAAAAGACCTCTAATTTTAATTAGGTCCTTTTTGGGTACTTTTATGTCTTTATTTTCTGAACAGAGTGGTGAATTCATTTTCATCACTATGATTCGTTTTGTCCAAAAACTCTCACTACATAGTGACGTAGATCTATGGCTCTGGAGCTGTCCATGGTCCTGATAATTGTCTGGCTCCAGCCACCTTTATAATGGAACTCGTGTATGTGTGTAGCACAGCTGCAGAACAGAGGTGTTCAGGGCTTAACTGTGAGCAGCCGGCGCAAAGTCAGCCACAGTTTTGACTTTAAAGTGCTATTGATTTTAAAATATTCTAATAAATAGCGTCCTTATCCATTTGTAATGAATTCGAGTCTCACAAAACACGACAGCAAGTCTGATCACGTATAAACAATAGAGTCACTTCCTGCTTTCTGGAGAAGTGCTCAGTGGTCCTGGAAATAACCATGATGTATCAGATAAGTAAAAAACAACCCTAATGTTAGTTTGGTTTAATGTTATGCAATGTTATATACAAGAATAACTGAATTGAGTTTTCATTAGTCAGTTATTTATTCTTTGCATTGCCTCATTTTTTACTTTGACTGATTTGCAGCTCGAAGGGTTAATCCTATTTATCAAATGTTGCTCAGTTTCTTAGACGTACTCCGCAATCGTTGACCCTTGCAACTTACTACTTTACCCTGACCCTTACTACTTTATTGTACACTTCATACTTTGCCATTTTAAGATTTCCAAGAAGACCATAAAACACATTACTGAACTCACCACTGTCTTTGCTCATTTTGACCTGACTTATTTTCTAATCAGCCACTCTTCAGCTTCATTAGTAGCCTGAATAAGTAAGTTATTCCTCATTAGTGCTGTGATTTATCATCATATCTTCACCAATCTAGTCTAGAGTTAAGGACAGTCTGTTACAGATGGGTGTAGCATTAATAATTTTCATACTTGACATGTTTTCAGCTACTTAAATGAATAAAATTGCTTCCTTGAGGGTTCTTAACACTTGAAATGTTTCTTTCATTCTATAGTTTTTAAACTTATTTGAAGTCATTGGTTTACAAATTCATGCTTTTAATATATCTCAGATTTTAGTACCTTAAAAGTAACACCTTGCTTATGTTATTTGCATTCATCCATTCACTTCTCTATTCTCTTCTGAATGTCCTCATTCTGTGAATTTACTTAATAAAATTAGGAAAACCTCTTTAGAATAAAATAATAAGAAAGTGTGAGACTGATTTTAGGAGGTAACCTGCCAGTCCACCTTAAAAGAACTGTGTGTCCATAAAAAAGCTGCGGCGCATGTCTCTCCTATCCTTTACATCTCCCAACTCTCTAGCAGTAGGACAACATGTACTAGTTCCATTTTACTTATTATAACTTTCAACACAAGTCATTTGAAATTGTTCAAAGATTGTCTTCACACCTATTAGTCTGGTGTTGTGCATGTGGCCAGTACTTTACAGAATAATTTATTGGAGAATTAGTTTTAATTTCACACTTTTTTAGATCCTTTTTGCTCTTCACTTTGAGCCCATTAATCCATATTGATGAAGCAAAACTAAGTAGTGACCCCTTTGAATTTTTGTCATTTCTTAGAGCTTATTTTCCACGTCTTAGTTCTGGGAATCTTCTTGTGACCACCTTCACTTATAGAGATCGCTCCATTAAAAAGGCAACAAGCAGCCAGAATGTGGATGATCTTTGCAGGGTCTTAGTTGGGTTTTCAGATGACCAGACTTTATGTTTTAGTTGCAATGTACACCGGCATTGCTAAGTTATTCAAAATGTCATTTGATTTACCTGGTTAGTTTGATGCAAACGCTTTGAGACTGGTGTGGGCATCCAGGATGTAGGGTTGCAACGATTAGAAAAGTCTAAGGACTGACCAAGGTTTTATGATTACCGTGGCTATTTTATGTGAATTGATTTTACAACATGTGTTAAAGCTGCAATAGCAAATTTGGAAAGCAAGTTAGCTTAACCCTCTGGAGTCACATGCCGGCGCATGATGGAGCACTGCTCACATTACTACCATTATTATCCAAACCAAGGAACCGCGTTGCCTCACGGTTCCAGCTTGTTTCGACAAAGGGGGGCTTAAAACTAAATAACAGTCTGCTCTTTAACTGTACTATTTCCTGCTACTTCAGCTATTAACTTTATTTTTTCTCTAAGAGTTTTTCTCCCCAGAAGAAGCTACAATGATGTTCTGCTGAGCTGTGGTGGCCTCATGGAGGGGGCCATCGTCTAGCACACTGCTGCTAACCACTTAAACATTCTCCCTCTCCTGATAATAACTTTTTGTTTCCTTGACGTTGGATGTGCTACTACTAGTTTACTCGTTTAACAATAGATTCACTAGATAAATACAATAAAGTTTATCTCTCGCCAAATAGAATATTTACTAAGCAATCACGGTGTAACCATGGACACATTGCTTGGTGTGTGTGTGTGTGTGTGTGTGTGTGTGTGTGTGTGTGTGTGTGTGTGTGTGTGTGTGTGTGTGTGTGTGTGTGTGTGTGTGTGTGTGTGTGTCTGTCTGCTCTGTCTTCTCGATCCCCAGTGAGTCGTGGAGGACAGCTGCTTATACTGATTCAGGATCCTCTGGAGGTTTCTTCCTGTTAAAAGGGAGTTTTCCTCTCCACTGTCGCTTTATGCTTGCTTGGTATGAGGATTGCTGTAAAGTCACTGACACTAGTCAGTGACTTGATGCAATTTGCTGGGTTCCTTATATAGGAAACATTTTTTCTGATTGGCTTAATGAACTGACCTGAATTGGAATGTTTATTATGTGAAGTGCCTTGAGACGACTCTTGTCGTGATTTGGCGCTTTATAAATAAACTTGAATTGAATTTAACATGTTCATCCAAGTAAGACATGTAAGGTAAGACGTGAGATTAGACGTGTTTATGTTTTTTTGACACTTCATTTAAACATTGGATATTCTGTTGATGTAAAAATATTTTATCTGTATTTTGTTTGAATTCATCAAAATTCTAAAATATTTGGATATGTTTATTTTAAATGGTTGGTATTCTCACATGGGGACACTTCTTAGATAAAATATTTAGTTGAATTATAAAACATAATGAGAAAAAAAAAACCAAAGCAGAATTTGGAACATAAAAAGTTAAAGGGCTCTGAGAGCAAAGCAGGGTCTTAATCTAACAAGAAGGGGTTTTATTAAGGCGGTGGTTTCAAAGGAGGGATTATTTTGTCGTTTAACCCATTCTTTTAGATTGCTATTCTTGTTCTCTTCTCACATTGATAAAACTGCTTTGTGTTGTCATGCCTAATACTCTTAGGAAATAAATAGCCATGAATTGAACTGTAATGTACTTTTTTGTGCAGCAGACCTCAATTAATCTTATCTGTGTTATTATATAGAAAAAAATAATAATGTGATCCTTGACAATTTCAGCCCAACTCCCACCTTTATTTATGATTTTTAAAAAAATGATAGACACTTCAAAGTGACTACCCCGACATTAGCAGCAAATATAACAATGTAACATCACCACTCATGACATACTGACAGATGATTTCCCACTCACCAAAGCCATCATAAGAGGCTGCTGACTTTAGACACGGTTCAAAAGGGAACGCAGACATTTAGCTGCAGTCAAAAAGGAGTTCTTTGTACTTTACACCCACAGGAGGCAAACCTTTTCGGGACAAAGTTATGTAAAAAAAAACATGTTATGAAAATTTAAGGAGTCACATGTTTTACCTTTACATGCAGTTAAAATTCAGAGGGGGATAATACGTTATCAAACAATATTACACAATTTCCTTTTTTCCTTCCTTTCATCTTCTGTCATTTGCCTTTTCCATTTACCGAAGCTGCATCTCATTTTAGTTCTCCGCAGTACATTTTTATATTTTTATGCTGGACCAATATTCCTTTCCTTAATGTATCACTCTCCGCCTCATTTATTTGGTCGTATTTGTCCAGTTGTCAAGGTCAAGGTCACATTTATTTCTAAAGCACACTTATTATTGCTTCTGCAACCCAAAGTGCTGGACAACACAGAAGATAAAATCGCAAACAAGTATAACTAAAAACCATAAAACCATAAAAATCAGCAAGTTAGGATAAAAACAGCATTACATCACATGATTATAAAATCAATTAAAATGAGAAAGAATGACAATGACAAAATAAAATCATCCTACATAGAAGCCAGGTTGAATAAATGAGTTTTAAGCAAGGACTTAAAGACATCCAGACTTTGTGAGGTCCTGATCTGCAGAGGAAGACTGTTCCAGAGTGTAGGACCAGCCACAGAATGGCCACAGTTGTGGTTATTCTGTCTCCTCACAAATGACGGCTTTCACTTCTTTCTTTGTTTGGCATGTACACGTGTCTTTTAACCACTCTAAGACTCTCTTCTGTAGAACATAGAACAGGAGAAGAAAGTTGAAACAAAAAAGTTAAGCCATGCATTTGCACAAACAAACACAGTGGAACCATTTTTCTGCAACAATAGTAGCTTCTGCATTCATATTTGTTCCTTTCTTGTCCCAATTCATCTTGCAAGATGGAATCGCGTTCGGCACAAACCTAATTTCTTGGTACATCTTGTCCAACTGTTTTGCCGTTGTTTCTTTCAGAGCACCTGTTCGTGAGAACTGATGTTATAGTAAATAATCCACATTTTTCCAAATGCTTCTTGCTAGATGCAAAGAATAGATGAGTCTTAGAGGAAAACACGAAACCTTGTTTTGGGTTATTCTGATGGAAATGTTCAGCTCAAACTACTGGCAGGACTTCTATTTGTTTCTTTTGTTTTGTTTTCTGGTGTCATTAAAACATCCATAGTCTTCCTGTCATGCCTACAAAGACAAAACCATGTGGTTGCATAGATACGCTGCACTGTAAACCCGAATAAGTTCCCAGAACTCAAACATTTTGAGGCAGTCAATTGCCTAAATTTTTTTGAGTTTTGAAACTGAAATTTTTAAGTTGTCATAAATTAAATTTCTTAATACATTTTACTCATACATTTTAAGTTTATTAAATTAAAATTGCTCATCGAGGCAACTCAAGGTATTTTAGTTACCTTTTATTTCCATATACAGTACAGGCCAAACGTTTGAACACACCTTCTCATTCAATGTGTTTTCTTTATTTTCATGACCATGGTAGATTCTCACTGAAGGCATCAAAACTATGAATGAGCACATGTGGAGTTATGTACTTAACCAGAAAAGGTGAAATAACTGAAAACGTGTTTTAAATTCTATTTTCTTCAAAATAGCCACCCTTTGCTCTGATTACTGCTTTGCACACTCTTGGCATTCTCTTAATGAGCTTTAAGAGCTCCTGACATGGTTTTCCAACAGTCTTGAAGGAGTTCCCAGAGGTGTTTAGCACTTGTTGGCCCCATTGTAAATGGTCATGGTCATGAAAATAAAGAAAACACGTTTGAATGAGAAGGTGTGTCCAAACCTTTGGCCCGTTATTTTACATTTTATTTAACATCTTGCTACTTTGTGTTTACTGTGTTATAGGCAGGCGAATGAGGAATACCAGGTCCTGGCGAACTCTTGGCGTTACTCATCGGCGTTTTCCAACAAGCTCTTCTTCACTGTGGTGGACTATGATGAGGGAGCTGATGTTTTTCAACAGGTTAGCAGTTTTTGTGATATAATCCACATCTTAGTGTCCAGGACTTTGTGCTTAATTCTATAAATCAAGCAACAAGATGTCCTTGTTTATAGTCCTAGAACTTAAAGTTTCTGTTCTCAAATGTCCTGCTCTTTTTTTTTTTACATTTCATAGATTTTTTTGTCTCTTAATCACTTTAATGTTAGTTTTTTTCCCACTGATTTACTAGAAATTTTGATATAATTTCCTGAACCATCTTTTCCTTTTTGTTAATACCTACAATGTTTCTGTACTAGGGCTAATGCTAGTTCTTTTTCTACCAATAATCGTGATTAAGGTTTAATTCCTGATTTTATTGTTATTCACAATATACAAGCAATGCAGGCCATCCTATATATGTGAATCTATAGTCTAGACACGGCCCATTGACGGCTCTCAGTTATCGGGTGGGATCTACAGTTGTCTTTCAAACTTTCCATATGCTATTGGATCACAATTGGATGTACTCACAGGTACAAATGTCAGTCAATGCCATACTCCATCAAAAAAGATGCAAATACATCCTTTTTCTAAATAAACTTAAGTACCTCCATCTGCTCTTGAGCCAAAAAAAAAAAAGCCCAAGTATAAATTGTCCAAAATTCATGCCTAAGCCATTTAAAACACACAGGCGACATATTTGTTTTTACACTCAGTCGTAGTAACATCCTGCCCAACAACAGAGTGCTGTGATTGTTCCGCTAAGGAGTCGTCGCCATCTTAGTTTCTCTCAGTTGCACTCCTCCTGCCCACCTAACTAATATGACGCAGTGATTGACCCACCAGACCAATGGAGCACTGCGATTGGCTCAGCACCAGATGACCGGGGCTGCGGAGGTTCCAGTGGAGAGCGGCTGGACTTTATTTTTTTTCGGTTCATCAAACAGAAGGTCTGGACTCCTAGGCAAACGTTATACAGCAATATTTACATACATGACAGGAAATGACATCATACCATCAGAATATCAAAAACCAATAATTTGTGTTTCTTGTTTCTTATCATTATCCTTTTTAAAAACAAATTTCACGTTCTTTAATGTGCTTGTGAAGTTCCTTGTTATTTTATCTAGAGAGGTGCTACATAAAAAATGCTTTCTTGTTCTTCTCTAATAATGCCAGGAGGAAAACTGAAGGATGAAAATAGTTTTTAAATGTATTTATTAACAACAAAACTTGTTATTTTACCAAGGTGGGCTGCCTGGGTATATATCTGGGCCATCTGATTCTTTTTTCTCACACCAAACTCTGACACATTTTACATGCTTGTTTGAATTACCATAACTGTGCAACGGTTTGTGCTATCAAAATATTCTAATGGTTTTAAAAGAAGAGAAGTTGAGCTTCAAGTCTACTTAGTGTTATAAGGGTAAGTCCCGTTGTGATGCTGGAGAATCATCCTGTCTCACACTCACCAGCAGTGCTGAGAGACATCAGGAACAGAGACAGACGACCACAGCCTTTACTATCTGTTGTAGCAGCGCTATGTAAGGAAGAAAAAAAATACAGGAAATACAAAAAACACACACCCCTCTCCTGCTCGGTGCTGCCATCGTAACACTTTTAAAACCTGGGGTTAACAGATCCTGGGTCAGTCAGGAGTGCAACAAAACACAGCAGCTTTGACAATCGCGTGATCACATCCTTTAAAATCATAACTTAGGTCCGAAAATGATAGATCATTCAGCCCAGATATGGACTATAAATATTTAGTGTAGTTGTCCACATCAGACCTTTTTACTTGCACATATTGGTCTCCCATGCATGAAAATGATTTATTTTCATTTCAGTTATGCATGTGCGCCTGCTTAAAAATTTTACATACCCCCGTTATTGAGCACTCTATATGCACATATATTCACACCTATTCCTAAAAATGTAACTAGAAAAGAAACTTAAATAAAACAATATTTATGTATTGAGCAGCAGTAGCTCATGAGGTAGAGCGGGTTGTCCAGTAATCGGAAAGTTGCAGGTTCAATCCCGGCTGATGCCAGAGAATGCTGCTGGTGTGCCCTTGGGCAAGACACTTAGCCCATCTTGCCTGCTGGTGGTGGTCGGAGGGACCGGGGTCGCCAGTGTTTTACAGTCTTGCTTCCGTTTGTGTGCCCCAGGGCAGCTGTGGCTACATCGTAGCTCATCATCACCAGGGTGTGAATGTGTGTGTGAATGGGTGAATGGCTGACTGTGTTGTGAAGCGCCTTGGGGTTGTAGAATCCTGAGAAGGTGCTATACAAATACAGGACGTTTACCATTACTTTAGAAGATTTGTTTTCCTCCTTCTCACCCCCTTTTAATCAGAGATAGCTGTGACTTTTACAGCCCAACTTGACAGTTGAGTTTTGCTGGCTTCCTTCTGGGCCTCTGAGGATTTGTTTGAGTTGCATTATGCATTCACAATTCAGCAAAGATGCAATAAAAAGCATGAAAGTCTTGTCAGTTGCAGTCACAAATCTTAAGTTTGACACCTAACTCAATTCAATTCAAAGATACTTCATTAATCCCAGTGGGAAATTAGAGTTTCAGTACACACAATTCTGAGACCAGACAGACATACATAGGCATAGACACATGACAAGAATTGGTGACTGTGGTCATTCGCAACCCGAGTCGCGCTACCTCAATAGTAATCAGAGTGTTTATATGAGGATTGAGTCAGGTGGAGGGAAAAAAGGCACTTCAGTGTTACCCTCCACAGGGAGGGCAGCTTTGCTATGCAAAAAACACCTCAGAAAGAAATGCAACAGACTTCAGACATCAACAACATAAGTGTCTACTAGGTGGGGACGTAGGGTTGGGGACTCTCTACACATCAGTGCATGTAGCCACGATAAGCAGCGCTCGTCGTCACCTCTGTTTGGACAGGGGAGGGAGGTCGTTGGGTTTAGAGAGCACAGTGACTCCTGGAACGATTCAACGGGCTTCACCGGTCGCAGTCCCGCCCAGGCTGGGATAGGGAGACAGAGTTGCTATGGCGACGGCAGCATTCCACATTTCTTCTGAGGGGGAGTTATTGCTTCAGCCTCACAGGCTCAAGGGCACCAGATTCAGATAAGAAATTGTTTTGGGGCCAGGCAGAGATAATTTCTCTGTCTTAAAGTCCCGTTGGTCCTCAACCCCTCTCAATCCAATAATGGCGTAGTTAATCTATCCCAATCCATTCTGACCTATCAACTTTCTCCTTGATCGAATCCACCTTCTGTGCCAGAGTCTGACTCTCAGCTAAAGTTCCAAGCTTACGACTCATCTCGACAATTATATGAGTTTGTGCGTTCACAGCGTGGTGTAATCCATCCCTGAGCTCCGGGATTGAGCCAATATTCCTCCACAGCTCATTAATTTTCCGGTAAGCCAGATAACCACTCAGGCCAAAAAGCAGGAAACCTGACACCAACACAACGAATATCCAGACGTCTTCAGAATCCTCTACAGACAGTTGGGAGAGACCGATCAGGTTCCACTGTTTCCAGGAGTCCATGATATGCCCAGCTGGCTCTGTCCCAGAGGGGCAACCGGGAGCTCCTTCTCCCGTTCTCATCATTGAAAAAATGTTGTCAGTTGCATTGGGAGACCAACTGACCAGCTCCATTTTTAATCATTTCCAGTTTAAAGAAAAAATGCAGAAGCGCCATCCACCCAAAGACAGACAAAGAGCCTTGGGGATAAGATAGGGAGGAGAGGAGGAAAAAAGCGTCTGTACTCTCCAAGCATGTTTATATAGAAGGGTAACTTTATATTTGCCTCTAAAGGTGTAACTTCTGTGAAATACCAACAAAACTATTATTTTATTTTACTGATTTGCCTCTTTGTCTTGACTTTTGCAACATTTTCTATTTTATTGTGTCCCATGCTGGACTGTTTCCCCTGACTCAAAAACATGTAAATAACCAAATTCAAATATGGTGGCAACTATTATTATTAATGAATATTATTATGCATTACCTTCTAAAATAAAGGGATTTTGTGAGCTGTAGCAAGGACTCTCCCAATGCTGCTGTGGTGAGAGTGCCTGATATCAGGAAGGTGTTGCTGGATTCTGTGGACATATTTTTTTTAATGTTCTCAGCATGAGGAAAATACTAAAGCTGAAATGCATTTTTCAGCTGACTTCAGCATTTTAGTGTTATGAAACACCTGCAAACTGCAGCTGATATAGAATCAGAGAGGGTGTATACAGCTTTACTCTCTGATGTTTGCAGGCTGTAAGGATATCTCCACGGAAACTGCCGTTAGCTGTTTTTTTCTGTAGTGGTCACTCACTCATAAAGGTATTTGTAGGAAATAGGTTCCCTCCGGCAAACGTTTCTGTACAGTCTCGATTCATGTCAGAGAAGGGATGTGCATATCTTTATAATATTACACATATTTATTCAACAAAAAAGTTTAGTTGTTGAGAATGATGACAAACTTATTTGAATTTAGTTAAAATGATTAAAGATCAGCCATTTGTTGAACACATGAAAGTCAGATGACTTTAGAAATCCTCTACATGTCAAGTTATTAACTCAAAAACCTGATTTTTCTTTTTCTTCCAGCTGAACATGAATAGCGCTCCAACTTTCATGCATTTCCCTGCAAAGGGAAAGCCAAAGAGGGCCGATACGTTCGACCTGCAAAGGATTGGCTTCGCTTCAGAGCAGCTGGCCAAGTGGATTGCTGACCGCACGGATGTTCAGGTACTAGATAATAATACTAGTAGTGCTCGCATCGGCATGTGTACATTAGCAGGAAATGTAAAGTGATGGAATCTCTGTCAGGAAACAGGAAAGGTTCAGTTGTCTTTAAAAACTCACCCAATACTGTACTTTGGGGGTCGGTTTGAAGTTATTTTAAATTCAGTTTTAAGAAATAAAACTTCTAAATGTGCAAAAATGCAAGAATGAAGTAAGAATGACATCCTTTGGTCATACTTAGATACTGTAGCCCATTTTTATAAACAAACTTCACTTTCTCACACCTGTTGTGTGAGTTTCATTGCTGTCGCTAATTTCGGATCAACTGCAGAAGATTCTAGATGAAAAGCAAAGAGGAGTCAAACCCAGTAAGTAAATAAATACATCGTCATATCTGGTGTTGGCACTCTTGGGTGTTTTACGGTAGAGAGCACTTACTACACTCGGCCTGCCAAAACTGAAGCCAACGCAGACGGTGACAAAATTTGCAGTTACCCCTCTCATCCACTAGGGGCTGATTCCAGAAAGGAGCAAGTTCCCATTGACTCCCGAGTTAAAAACGCCAACTTCACAGCTGAAATAAACATGTTTACACACTGGTTAATAAAAATTTAGGGTCTAATATATCAAGTAAACCATCACAACAACTGAGGGGGCTGACTGTCTTAACTCATTCATTTAAATGTAATTAAGGCATGAACGATGAATACTTAGGGGTGTGTCCTTTTCATTGGCAGGTAGCAGATGAGTCGTAGGCGCTAGCGGCTTACCTCCTGCTTGCTCCAGGGGAGGCCTCAGCGTCGGCCTCAAAGGCAGAGGGCAGCAGACTTGCTCAACCACACTTATCTGGTCAAAAGTGCCCACCAACCCGTGTTAGCTCAGTTGCTCGCAGCTACATCGGCTCAGCCTTTAATGGATGTCAATCATCTACCCCCACCCTCAGCTCCATTTTTCTTTATATACTGCCTTCTAATACAGACATGTAAATAGTTATCCTGGATAGTAAACTTGTTTAATAACTACCAAAATACAGAAGAGAATATTAAGATTCTAGACACCATCTGATTTACTTAAATCAAATAAATAAAATATTGCATAGTTTGGGGTAATTACTATAAAATACTCTCTAAACCATCATGGCCAGATAGGTAGTTATTAGTGTTTTTAATTCAGTGCTAACATAATTCGTGCTCCATAAACCCTTCGGTGTGTTTACTTTCACACACACAGCTGAAAATCACCAGCTTGCTCAGAGGTGATGGTTTGTTATTGCCCAGTCCACACCAGAATTTTATTCTGCAGCCTTCGAGCCTTAAAGGCAAACTCCTCCACCTTTGCATCAGCCTATTAGCAGCTGTTGCAGAGTTCTTCAGTATTAATATATAAATGCGTTGTGACTCTAGAGGGAGATACACAAAAGTCACTGCTTGGGGCTAAAGGCAGCAGGCATGGTGGAGGTGTTGTGGTAAGACGTGAGCTTACCAAACCTCTAGTATTGGTCTCTGCTTCGCTCAGCATTAATACAAACCAGTAACTTTAATGCGTTTAACATTCAAGATGAGCTCTTTTTTTTTACTTCACTAAACAAAAGAGTAACTAATAAAAACCTGACATAACATGCCATCCTTCATGTTCATGTTTAGAGGCCAGATCTTCCTGAGTTGAGTCAGGCCTTCCATCAGCAGATAGTCACCGACATGTCATAGCGTTGTTGGTTTAGGGGGGTGATTGTACACATGCTCTTGGTCTCTTTTGTGTCCTTGATGCCTTTTACTTTAGAATGTTAACAACTAAAAGGCCAAGTGTCAGTTCTGATCATATGATGCTTGTTGTCAGTTATCTACCAGCAGGCACAGTCCTAACGTAGAGCTAATGTACTGTGGATGTCCAGCTTTAGAGGACAGCACTAAGATCACTAATGTGAAGTGTTGTAAGACAAACACGTGCACCCTTAACCAAAACCGAACACCCTAACCTCTCTAGCAAGGACTGAGGACACGGTTTTCTTAGTATTCCACATTTTCAGATAAAACCCCAATAGCTTTAGTTTTCAGTAGTCGTGCTGTTATAATGTTTAAGGTTTAAAACACTGACACAAGCTAAGCTTTCAGAGAGCAAGACGTGGATGACAGCTTGATCATGTTCATATATATTGATCAGCATCAAAACTTTCACAGATGTGACTGCGGTTTGCACTGTTTCTCTATGGATCATGTGACTGTTCTCTGCAGCTATTTATTTTTAACATCTTTTCTTTGGTGATTTCAGTTTATTTCTGAAATAATCTTTTCTCAGCCAGTCAATGTTTACTTTTTACTGGCCTTAAGAAAGACGACATCATTTCCTTCCAAATGTCATTTTTACTTTCAGGTATACATATTTATTGTTAATGAAACTAATTTGTGTAATGTCCTCCTTTTGTCTCAGATCCGTGTTTTCCGTCCTCCTAATTACTCGGGGACTATTGCTTTGGCTCTATTAGTGTCTCTGGTTGGAGGTCTTCTGTATCTCCGGAGAAACAACTTGGAGTTCATTTACAACAAGACAGGATGGGCCATGGCCGCGCTGGTATGAGATATGTACACCTGCACCTACTCTTATTTACACATCAGCCTTACGTTTAAAAGTAAACAGCTAGATTCCTGACACTTCAGAATCTCGCAGCTTGACTTTGCCCATCCGTCTCTCATAGTGTGTCGTTTTTGCAATGACGTCTGGACAGATGTGGAATCACATTCGAGGACCTCCCTACGCCCACAAGAACCCACAGAATGGACAAGTGGTAGGAGTTTTTATTTTATTTTTTTATTATTTTACTTTGTCAGTCTTTGTTGTCTTAGCATGTCGGTCTAGCAACACTCCGTTGGAAACTGAGCAGGCCAACCATTGGCCCAGTCAATACTGTGTTATGCCAATCACAGCACTCCATTGGTTTGGTGGGCGGGATGATGCGAAAGAGTGGAACAATTACAATGGTGTTGGCTCGTTTGAAGCAGCTTTGGCGTTAACTTTGGGCTATTTAGACTTGGGCCTTCATTTAAGTCAAGAGTTGGTAGAGGTTAAGTTTTTTGATTTTTTCCCCTCTTTCCTATTCACTCTCTTTCTCAACATTTTTTCTTTTAAATCGCAATTGCTTATTTTTGCTCATTTTAAATATATTTTTAAACATTTTCTAAGTGCTTTTTTATATTTTTACAATTTTTTATATTTTTTGTTTTTGTGAAGCGCCTCATGATTTTTATCTTGAGAGGCGCTATAGAAATGATTTCTTCTTCTTCTTCTTTTTCTTTTTCTTTTTCTTTTTCTTCTTCTTCTTCTTCTTCTTCTTCTTCTTCTAATTAGAAAAAGGTTGTATGTGCGTCTTCTTAGACAGTGTATGGCAGATTGCCCCGTTAACTAACATTTGTAGTGGCAACTACGCCGTGCTCCTTGTACACTAGCATGAGGGTTTGAAAGCAAACTGTACATCCCGCTCCACCACTGAGAGCTTTCAAAGGGTCATGGCCGGACTCTAGTCACATCTATAGGATGACTTGCAAAGCTACAACAATTTGTTTAAAGGGTCAGAAGTGGGACAGGGTGTTCAGATTTAAGCTAGAAACATACAAAGAAGGAGGCAGAAATCTTTTGTGTTTCCTTGCCCTCTTTAGTTCTGTCCTCCAGTCCTCCTTTCCTTGGTCTGTCCTGCCTTCTTCTGAGTTTTCTTGGACAAATGCCACTTGTTACCAATTTGTGTGCAAACACTCGCACAAAGATATGACTTTGCCGGTCATCGCTTAAGTTTGTTCACTCACGTGTGAAATTAAAATGAAAATGTGGCAAAAGCAGGGAAAAAAGTAGAGAAATAGAGGAGAGAAGATGATGAAAAGAAGGGAGAGAATGGACATAGATGTGAGTCAAGAGGACTGTGCATGTAATGTCCTTGGAGATATGTGATTGAGTGTTTATGGATTTTTGACTAATAAAGATCAGCTACATCATTACACACGCACACACACCCACACCCACACACACACACACACACACACACACACACAGTATTACAAATTAACGAGTGAGATTACAGTGAAATGAGTTTGTTTGAAAACTAAATCCCTTTCTTGCGAAGGCCAACTCTTATCTTATTAAAGGAAACAACTCAGCACAGAGACATGCACATATGCACCTAGAGGACCAAATAGAAGGCAAATCGAACACAATTAAGGATTTTCTTCAAACCATTTGTTTTATTTTATTTTTTTATCCCCGTCCTTCTGTCATGTTCTGTGTAAAACAGACACTGTTGACTCTGTCACATTCAAGCTTTTAGATGTTGGGTTGGATGGCCATCCAGAGTAGCTTTTACTTTAGCTGTCGCCCCTTCCTCTCCAACATGTCATTTCCGTATCAAAGCTTGTTTTTTGCTATTTTAATTTTAACTAGTTTTATTTGTCCTTGGAAAAGCAACTGCAGTTCAAAATAAAAGTACGACTTTTTTCATCACACCACCATCCACACAAATGCAGGTAAGGGCCACGTTATGGTTTAGTGATCTTGTGTTTTACGTTAGAATCCACCTTAAATCCAACATGCATAATGTTTGAGAACCTTAACATAATAAATTCCCTTTTCTGTTTCATGTTCTTATCCGTGCTTATGCCCCAGCTCTCCCTTCTTTGCTTCCTCTTTTTCCTTTCTCTCCCTATTTGTAGTTTTTATTCTCTTGCCTTTTTTTTTTTGGCTCCATCTGTCTTCCCAGGAGTTAAAGTGTGTTTCAGCTAATCTGAAACTTTCCTTCCTGCGTTTCTGTCCTTTTTTAATCTCTTGTTCTTGCCTTTGCATGAACTGAGCAGAGTGATTATGGCAGCATTAAAGCTTGGACTTAATCAAGTGTTAAAGTAGCATTTTATATATAGACATAAATTAATTCAGTAGTTTAAGAAGTGATGGTCATAGGCCTGTTATTCAAATGCATAGGTGAGCAGGTCGCGCAAGATTTATCACCAAGCGTGCACAAGCCTAATTATGCCAGGTAATTGCTGCAAGAGTGATGCTGGTATAGGATTACAAGAAAAAAAAATGAAACATCGTACACCCACTGAAGAACTGAAAAGTTAAATAAATGGACTTAAATCAGCCTACAAGGCAGGTAGATTCTTAAGAAAAACCTAAACCTTAAAAAACCCATTCACAAATGTTTCTCACTGTTTCTGAAAAACAAACTGTTCACAGCTAATTCACATTTGATTTAGTTAACATTTAAATCTGAGTGATTCGTTTTGTCTCTGTAAGTAAAAGTTGTAAATGGGCTGTGTACATCATTCCTCAAAACATCAGCATGAAAGCCAAATATTTCAAATAAGACTGAGTCCTTCTAGAATCTATCACTCTGGTTGGTACAATCATTAAAAGTACATTCCTCTTTTTGCTAATTACAGCCCCCAACCCCCATAAATCTAGAAGTTTTGTGTTTTATTTTAAATGTTAAAACTATAAATAAAAGCCTAAAAATGTTAAATTGCATGGCAAAAATTACTTCAGCTGAACACTTTTTTGTTGATTGACTTGGTTGATTCATTCATTCATTCATTTCTACATTAACATTTCAAATTGGGACTTTAACAGGTTGTAACAACATGCCTTCATCCTTTAAACATAATTTGACGCGTACATAGGTCCTCGCTGTTGTTGGAAAAGAATCCTAATAATGATTTGTTTGGTCAATATTGAAATTACAATGTAATATGACTTATGCAGGATTATTTAAATACATGTTTACGATAAGAATCATATCAATTATCTCTAATTTAAAGATTAGATTAAAACATGTAGTCACAGACATGAATAAATCACAGGTAGACTGTGTTGCTATTAAAGCAGAGAAGAGCTGCCATCAAAGCTTGGATTCCCAGGTAGGAAGTTGGTGCAAACATGTTATTTGTATTTTATGGATAATTTGTCCAACAGCATTGAATCACATTGATACAAATTGGTGCCATTTGTGTGGAAATCGTATTTTAAATAATAAAAGTACATTTTTTGTGTTTTGCTCTCATTTGGCCATCTTTACTTACTTTAATAAAACACGATCAGAAGATGGGTATGACTTCATCCTTCAGAAAGCAAGACAACATAAAAAAAGCTTGCTAAACTAAACATGACAACATTATTTAACAATAACACTGTTTTTGTCCATAGCACTAATTTGTGCAGTTTTGACACTTTTACCATGGAAGTATTCATAAAATTCATGTTGCGCATTAAAATATTGAAATGTAGTAAAGCCGTAGTGTGGTATAGCACGTCACCTTTAACAGTTGACAGCATCAGATTGTTCATGTCTCCAGATAAGGGATCAAGGAGTGTATATGAGCTGTGCCATCAGGAGGTGGTTGTATTGTGTAGTCACGTTGTGTGAAACCACCTACACACTCGTCTACCAAGCCTTATTTTAAGTATTACTCTTTAACTTTAGCCATTTTGTTGACACAGCACACGGTGACACGCAGTACATTCTTTTACTCAACTGCACCTTTTCTCTGTTTCTAAGTTACCGACCCAAAATAGTTGTAGGCTAACAACATTCTATTCTTTCTCTGTTATTCTTGTTATCTTCTGACAGGTAATGGCTTTAGACCAGGCAGACGATGGTGAAAAGATACTAATCATATTTTGTTTTCCATCCCATTTTTTAAGCTTTCCCCCTCATGGCTTCCTCTCACCCCCTCCTCTAATCCCCTCGTCTCCCCAGACAGTGTAATTCCTTTAAAATGATGAGTGAGCGACGCCAGGTAGACTGTATTGAAAGGATTTGTCAACTGACAAATGGCACAGCGAAGAAGATGAAACTACTGTGCGTCTCGGTGTGCAGCCAAGAAAATGCTGCTTTCTCATTTTTGCTTAGACACTCACAAAATGGGACATGTAGAGGTATGCTTTAACAAAGCTGTACACAAATTTGACAGGTACAGACGTTTACCACAGTCTATCTTACAGGGTTGTATTATAAAGCCCATGCACAGGTTCATACATATCAGATCTATGAGAATGTTGGATTCATGTGCACTAGAAAAAGGTGCAGAAAAACTAATCTAGAAAATAACGTTGAATAATGTCGGAGTGGAAAAGAGAGAAAAACATACCTATTAAAGTTGTATTTTGCTGTCTGTGTGAGGGTGCCTTTACTGGTAATTGCAATCTAATCATTTTCTTTCTGCAATCACTGTACTTTTGGCTTTAAGACAAAAGCAGTGAGTACTTTATTCGAGCTCTACACCAGTACACGTCCTCAATGATGAACAGTCTAGTGACTCAGTGAAACAAGTTTTTCTCAAGGGTAAACACTGAATCGTTGTGGCCACTTTCTTTTCAGATTGTAAACTTAAGTCAAAAGAGAGCACTACCTTTATCTTTGACTGTTAACTATTAGTTATAAAGTAACTGAACTAAATCCGCTACCCGCTTTCCAGGACAGTTCGAAGAATTGCATGTGACAAGCATAAAATTCAGGCAGAATGCAGTTAAAGTTTGCCTGGGAATTTCCACAGCTGCTGTGACTACCCAGGCAGGAGGAGTACAAGCCCGACTGGATCTCAGCGCTGGGGCACCGGACCAGTTATGAGCAGAGCTTTACAGAGCGTGATAGAAGTGGCAAAAGACATGGGCTGGCTTCCGGGTGGGAACCAATCATAGACAGGCAGTGGCACATGCTGTTTTACATGCAAAATATTCCCAAAGGATTAGTCGGCACAGTGGAGAGTCAGGGAAGAAAGAGTGGTGACTGAAAATTTGTATATCCTGTAA